TGCACATTATTTTATGTTTTATGTTACATTACTGAATTTTGCACGATTCATTTTGCTGCATTACTATTACAACATGAATATCTATGAAATTAGATTGTCTATTTATATAAATACGACCACATAAGATAATCGAGTGCAACTCGCGAAAGAAACTTTCGGGACAACCTAATATTTCAACCGTCGCGGAACGCTGTTCGTTCTTTCATACGATGGTACAATCGAGAAAAGGAATCGAGGTTATCGAAAATAAAAATCGATATCTCATCGAAATCTTGATCGAAAAAAAATGAGTAATAATAAAATTTCATCTCTTACTCACTCATCTTCTTATCCTTAAGTCCTTGAAAAACGATCCGAGACCGCTGCATGGCACATAAGACGGCGTTTCGTCACGTTCGAGCGATTTCTTTTTTCACCGGTTTGAGATAATAATCTTACAACGTTTCGTTGACAGAATCGCGAAACCGTAGCGTCATCGAGCACACTGTTATCGTATTGTCATCGTTCGCAGAATAGAGTAAAAAAAAAAAAAAAACAACACACCGCCCCGAAACGAGCCCAAACGAACCACCGTCAAAACATCGTGTATCCTTCCTCGCCTCTAGGAGCAGGTCCCGCTACGCAGTTGTTGTCGTTGTCGTTGTCGTCGTTATTACCATTTCCGAGAAAACTGCTCTTCCAGAGTTCCTGCCCGAACGGTTTTGTACCGTTCTCGAGCGACGCGGCTAACAGGTTGACCGGCAACTCGAACCGAAACTTTTCTCGATCCCGATACACTGTATACGACACTGAACGCTACTCGAGTGCTCTCTTTTAGTACGTAACGGAACAATTAATCGCACTGAGACAAGGTAACATAGGGAAAACAATGGCACAACGTATCGCCGCAGGACTTGTTGCTGCGAGTCACGCAACTGTAGCCTTTCGGAAGCGATTCAAAGAAATCCTGCCACTCGTTAACCGTGATCGCTTCACCGAGGTGAGATCGCTTTACCGATTCCGATTCCGATGCTTCGAACAGACATGCTCCTCGTAAATCGAAAGGATTAGAGAGATGCGCTTCCAATGTGATCCTGCTCTCCGGGAATTCCCGCGTAAACATAGTCCGCATATCCTGGTCGGTTTTTTCCCCGATCGTTTCTCGCACGACCGATGTCGAACAAGTTTCGAGGCATTCGTTGTTAGTTTGTAAAGCGGATCGATGGTTAACAATCGTCGCGAAGAAAATGTATCGTAACGCATGAACCGCGACGCTGCTCCGACGACGTCTCGCATTCGACTGCGAGGCCGCTTGCCGAGACCGAACACCGATTTAAAGCATCGGCTTAGCCTGTAGCCTGTAGAGCGGTATCTCAAGCAGGATCGACTTTTCTATTCGTTTTTCTTGCGATATGAAAAAATCGTATCCTAGACTAGAGACAAGCTGAATCTATAGCCACTTAATCTTCGAAACGAGCAAATTTTATTCGAAATTCGACTCTGAAAGAATGATTTCAAATAATATTGGATTTTTCCCTCTTGTATCCAACAGGCAGTATTACTTTTTTAAATACAGAGGAAATATCAATTCGTTAATTCAGGATGACGGGATACGGATAACATGCTATTCGGAATAACATTTCGAGTATTAACGTTATTTCGAAAGTGTTCCGGGTTCGAGGTACAGTTCGAGACAAAAGGAAATTTTACAGCCCGAAGGATCCCGGCATTGCGATTGGTCGAAAGAACCCTCGGGTAGCTTGGGACGGAGATGAATAGCAGAATCGATAAATTCGGCGTTTGTTCGACCGAATCTACTGTACCGGCACAGGAAATGTTTCAAGATCCGTTAGAGATCTCCGAGTACCTGGTTAGTGGCTACCTGGTCTGTAAGTGTTCGTGATCGCGTTTTTATACTCCTATCTCGCACGAAGATACTATATCCTGCCGCATTCTGTAATCGTTGATTCGATACAACAGCAATTTCTTGTAACGATATCTATTTTAGTTTATATTTCGAGTGATTAGACGTTCTTCGAAACAAGTATGTAACGTTTTAGATGAGACATAATATAACGCTATATTTACGAAGAAACTTCGAGGGCGAGTTTAATCGATCAGAACTGTTATTTCGATACGCTATTTCATTCTTATTCTCTAGAAATTGCTTTCTATATATATCTTTTTTATATATATTCTTGCATTTTTCAGCCCTTCTGTAATTGGTTACAAATTTTAATTCTGTACAAAATATAGGGAATCCTTGTTAATTGGTCTCGAATAGAATAAGATATCCGTGTAACCTTTACGCGACGGTTTAATTAGTCTCGTAATAATCGCTATTGACTCCGTTTCCTTTTTTATCATCGTTTCTCATGAAAAAAGCACATACGTGCTATGTGTATACCTGTAATGTCCTTTGTGTTCCCGGTTCAAAGGCCTGTCCCCCTCGGCTGCCTATTGTTCGTTATCTCTGTCTACTTCGCATAGAGGGCGATCTTATATATTTTCGAGGGATTCGGAACTATAATGGCGTGAAAACAAAGAACTTTGCTGTCCGAAACACCTGGAACTTCTTTTCCCCTTAAAAGGCTTTCGTGTGCCGTCGGGCCCCATCGCAACCCTCAGAATTTGCCTATGACTGTGAGGAATTTTTACGTAAATACGTAGAGTAGTTATATCGAGCGTATTGCAAGTGCCGAGGAAATGAATCATGGAAACACATTTCACTTGGAGAAAGTAAAACTTCCCATGAATGCTCGCGGATATTAGGTTGTCCCAAAAGTTTCTTTCGTGTTTATGTAAAAAAACAACCTAATTTCTTAGATGTTAGCGTTACACAACAGTAACGGAGCAAAATGAATCGTTTACGATTCAGTAGTGTAACGTGAAACATAAAATATTGCGAATGTATTGCTTATTAATAAAACGAAAGAAACTTTTGGGACAACCTAATGTAATACATGTTTTTTCTCTTATGAACGGAGTATTGAGAGTCGGGAGCATGTATGCACAAAAACCAACAGTAAAAAGTCAAAGTCACATGGTCGTTCATTTTAGCGTGCGCAGACGCGAAATAATATTCTTTCGAATAATTTGAGTAATAGTGCTTTACGATTATTCATTTTTCATTGGGTCCAATGTTTTCTTTCTAATATTCGTCAATCGAAAGTGTTTCACCTTCTCTGCATTACTATAAAGAATTATATAAAATATAACCTACGATTATAACATCCCGAGGTTTTCCTAAATGTGAAATTCGTATTCCTCGTTTGTTCCAACTATAATATCTATCTTATACGAGTGAGTAGAAGCAAAATTTTGTCGCTTGAACGTTCGTAGAAAATTTGCGATGTTATCGTAAAGAAAAAAGATATCGAATTTTAATGAATATTTTAGCTTAAAAAATAACACCACATATATAATCTTATACACATTCTTACGATTATTTACGTTTATTTAGTTGTAGTACTTGTCTACACCAAACAAACATTTTCAAAAAGACATCCGTTATAGTGTCTGGTTCTTTATCTTACAAGTAATACACATATTCTATATATTATTATTTAATTTATACACTAATGCGTTACAATTGTATTCTGAAATGAATTTACGACTCTATTTGTCTGGAATGTTCTCCAAGCCCTGTAAAAAATAAACTGTATAAAATAACTTTCTTCGATGAGCAACCAAAGTATCAAGCAGTACATTATCTACAATCATTAGACGATATAAAGCTATATGAATACCTACCGCATCCTTCCAAACTTTACCAGTTAATGCAGAATCTCTCTCAAACATTCTCATATCCCAGTCTTCCTCCAATTTTCTACGCATTGGCTATAACAATGAAATGCAAAACCAATTATCAAAACAAACAGTAGAAAAAAAATATACAATGGTAGTATAAATAAATGGTAAATCCATTCACCGATTCACCATTGTTATAGAAAAAAGAAACTTTCTAACCGAATACCGAATAAACATTTTATGCTGCAAACTTTAAATCTTCATGTTACGTAAACGCTTAATACCTATGTACAGGTTAGGTTATAAAAACTACTTACATTTCCATACATCCACTCGTTTACGTAAATTGGGACGATATGGGGTATTACAACAAGAGTTCCCAGTATAGCTACTATTGGAAGTATTTCGTACCACATCGTGGACGAATTTATTCAACAGAAATTTTACACCGCGTTGACTGTACTCTCCTGACCACGAATAATGTCAGTGGATGTCGCTGTAATGGATTTACTATTGCTATATACAAAAAGTTAAATTGCGCCTGCGTTTATAAATGCTTCCGAGTACGTATATTACCGTCGTACTTATGTGTATTTTACATTACCACTTTATCTTCTATTTAATTTTTAGCAGTGTAGAATTCTTTGAAATGGTAGGAATATCAAATATAATGTTGACTCAAAATGTTGTTTACCATACAAGTAACATTCTGTGTATTTATTTCTAGTGAAATGTAGTGATCGAACTAGATCTACTATAATGATCATTCATTAATAATAATAATAATAATAATAATAATAATAATTCATTTTTTATTATTTACGTTGAAGACAATTTAACGAACATTCTTCGCTATTTCTGTATGCGTTTTTTAATCCTTCTTCAATTTTTGTTGTAAAGTTATAGTTCAATTCATACCGATCTATACTGATCTATACCTCTCGATGGTCAATACCACCAAATACCACGTGTCATTACAAATTAACGATAGAATATAATGTACATAGATCATTAACATTTCGTATGGGGTTTGAGGTTTGTTGTGTGTGGTCTGTCTCTGTGTATGTATAATGTACAGAACAACAATAAAGGTTTTGAAAAAACGTATTCGAGCGTAGCATGTAATGTGTGTGTATCACAAAATTTGTTGATATTTCAAACTTTTTGTAGAATTTATAACAACACCTACTCGTCAATGTCGTTATGAAACATCGAACTGGTCCACGCGGATTTTGGATAACATCCCCCCACAATGACACGATACGTTATCATAAAGTTCACTTGTGATACTTGATACAAGGTATACATGTTTTGGTTAAATATAAGCCTTTTTCTTGCGATCAATTGATTCAAATTATCCCATGACGATTTCGAGTTTACAATTTCATCTAAATACTTCGCTTAGAAAAATGGTAAGTGTGCGACGAGTGTTTTATTTGACAGAAAATTAGGTTTTTAATAATTATAAAGTATTCGAAGTAAATTTTCGATCAGATTTACGGTTGAAAATCAAAGATTCGATTCATTTTATATAGATTTCGATATTGCAACACATTATACAAAAATGATTTCGAATTTATTTTTTACCAACGACTCGTACATCCTTGTAAGACAAAATTAATTTAATTCATGTAATGTTAAATAGTTATTTTTTTAATTTTGTGTTCTTCCTGTTATTGTTTTTGTATACTACCCTCTATTCTATTATGTACAAATTATTATATCAAAGGATATTATTGTCTCAGGCTGATAATTAAAAATATGTATTCATTTTCTTTGTAGGTATTATTATTTAACATACTACTTTAAACTAAATGTAATATTATATTTTAGGAGAGTTTAAGAAGACGCTTCAAACCACCAAAAATGCTACTAAAACTATATTCCCTTTTCATCCTAATATTGGATCTAATAATGCTTCTAATTGGAATTTTCTTTGCTATTTTAATTGCATTGTATAGAACATTCAATCCTCCACCTTTAAAAAGTCTTCGTGGAGAAGTTGCAATGGTAAGAAGTTTATTTTATTTAATGTAAAAATAATTTGTTTTATTCGCAAGGTACCTTGTTTTTGGTCTAGGTTGTTGGTGCAGGACGTGGTATAGGCAGGGAATTGGCAATTCATTTGTGTCAATTGGGTGTTAATGTTGCTTGCATAGACATTAATGTTGAAAATTGTAATATCACCGTACAAAAAGCTTCACAGGGAATAGGAGTAGCTAAAACATATATTTGCAATGTAACAAATAAACATGAAGTATGTATATCATTTTTATAAGTGATATTCGGCGTGTTTGATGAACCTTGTGCTAATCGAGTTACAAACCAATATAATAGGTAGATTGTACAGTGAATATTATTCAATCGGAATTTGGCAAAATTACAATGCTTTTTCATTGCTGCGGTATACCTAGCCCTAGATCATTGATTGAAGATCGACCAGAAATAAGACAAACGATCGACTTAACGGTTATTAGCCACTTTTGGGTAAATACTTGATGCACGATAAATAGTTATAGATTGTATAGTAAGATTAGTAGTATAAATCTAAATGATAATCTCTGCTTTTAGTTGTTAGAAACAGTTTTACCTTGTATGGAAAATGCTGGAAAAGGACATATAGTGGTTTTATCATCTGTGGCTGGACTATCTGGTGGTGCCACTGGTGGTAGTAGGGTTCCTCTTTCCACTGCACAGTTTGCAGTTCAAGGATTAGCAGAATCATTGCATACCGAACTAAGGCATTCTAATAGTAACATTATAATTACCTTAGTCCACGTTTATCCGTTTATTGTAGGCGTAGAAGCGGGCAAAGATATTCGTTTTAGGTAAGCAATGAAACAAACAATACCACATTCCCACAGATAAGTACCATCTTATATTTCGTATAGAATACCAAGCTATTTCGGCACAATGCCCGCTGCGGAAGCCGCTAAGCAAATTTTAGATGGTGTTCGAAGAAATTATGCAGAATTCAGTGTACCTGGATATTTACTTTACCTAGGACATATCCTTAGGTAATTTTACCATTAATGTCTTCATGTATATATGTCGGCCGCTTCGAAGAACTAACTTGTGTGTAAATAATGTATTATGTTTCCAGAATACTTCCAAAAAAAGCATCGTTTATGTTACGTGATTTATTAGACACAGGAGTTGATTTTGGATGATATTTCATTTTTCTAATCAAATATACGTATCGACTTTTTCTACACGATTATAATACATATTATAGAAAAATGTACAAGAGAAATTTGAAATTTATTTAACAAAATATTTTATTTGCTCCTTTTACATCTACATTTGATTATTGAAATATTTTCTGCTAAAGTCTACCTCTTTGTAACTTTTGTTTCGTGGTTTTTATGTCACATATTCCATGAAATCTACGTAATTTTCGCATATCCTAATATTTACATATAACGAAATAATACGTGACGTATAATAGGCACGATGAGTAATTAGTGAGTAGTTAATCTGCAGAATGATTCACTGGTTAATGCAAGAGATAAACACGCACACAAAATGTATAAAACATGATGAATACATAATACTAATTGGATTTGAACGTTAAGTATAAATCAACAATGATGTGATAGTTTGAATACTTACTGTTTCTGCACTATGACATCTGTAAAACTGAATATAATGCAAATTGAACATTTATCGAATAACATGATCTGTGCAGCTTAAATTATTTCTGGGCACAAATAGAAAATATCACATTTCACACTGAAAGAATGATTTATGTACATAGCGTAATAATGTGGCAAAATATCTGTTTTACATGATCGATCAACTATGCTTTGAATTCGATTACCGACATCGTGTACAAACATACATATGTACAAATTTGTAATTATCAATTACTTATCAACATTTAGATTGTTTTGTATACTAAAAATTGTATTTGTATACTGTCGAGTATTAACAAATATATATATGTTTTTTGTAAATATAATTTTTGATTAACAATGGCGATCATTGATCTCTCGTGAAATAAACTGAACATTCGCAAAAAAATTTATCGTGCCTTATCTAGTCATACAGTAAATGTTTTTCACGACATGTAATTAAGAATATATCACATCGCGAAAAAATAACATATGTATGTACATACATTTAATGTAAGCAATCTCCTATTTACAAAACCAGAATTAAACGGAATTCATCAAAACTATAAAAGGAATTGAATTTACGGAAAAATTCTGAATATGAAGTATTTACAATTTGCATGTGACGATGAATACGTGGATCTAACGTTTCAGATTGTCACGGAAAATGAGAAAAGAAATAATTTATGATTTACAGTGTAAATTCGTTAAAGTTGGGGCAATCTGTAGACGATGATTCAAATCCCAACACTGGAATGAGTTTATGCTAATCTAAACCAGGGGGGGCTGGTTCTGAAACATCAGTTTCCATTGTATCTGGTTTTTGTTCGATCGGATAATCACCAGGTGGTGCCTGCAAGAAATTGGAGGAAAAGCTGTTTGGATCAGTTCATATATTTATTTTGTTTTTACGATAATATAAGAATCAACTCTTTATATACAAGTATTTTTACTCACAATATCAAATTCATCATGCATGTCGCAAGGTGATTTACCCTGTATAACATCCATTATCGATTGCGGAATGTGCGCTTTCTGAAACATAACGATTAAATCTTTTGTATAGATAAGATCATCTTGTTAATAAAGCAATACAATCGTTATTACACTGTAACAGTAATAATTACCTGATTTTCAGCAAAAGCTTCGACGTGCGCTAGCAAAGGGTTTCGTAAATTGTTAGCCATCTTTAACGCCTCAGCCAACTGTGCCGGAGGAAGTTGTAAAATAACCGCGAAACTCTGTGGTTGTGTGCGCTCGCAACACTTTACGAAACCCTCCCAGACTTTCGGTTGCTTCCAAACTTGCTTTAAGATCAATCGTTGAAGTATGTTCATAACAAATCCGCTTAACCTTGGATAAAGAGCTAGACTTTGTATCACCGTACGCATCAGTAATGTAGGAAGTGGTGTCATTTCCATTAGATGTTGCATTACAACAGCTACGGTTTCTTGCGTGTATACTTGTTTCTCCGCAAAACACAGAGACGTAGCTGTAAACCGATATTTTAGAATAAGTAAGAAAATGGGGATCGGATGACTTGAATATATGTATATCGTAATACCTCACCTTTAATAATTGTTTTTAATTCTGCTTTACTTGGGTCTATATTATGCAAGGCTATTAACAGTTCGGCAGGTGTGATAGGAGATGTGTGAGGTAAACCACTTTCGTTATTATGAGTACCTAGTAGCCTGTTGAACACCTGTAGAAATATCATTACAAAACAATGCTCAATGTTATTTTAAATCTAGATAAACATTTTCAAAGATACATTTACCTCTTTAACAACGATAGGATTTAGTTTTATAAGTTTTGGCAGAGCGGCTATAACTTCTTTCTTCGTTAAGCCGTTCAAAACTGGTATCAAGAACCGAACATCGGAAACTCTCGTCTGATAAAGTTCTCGTACTCTTGCTACTAACTCTGCACTCGGCGCGGCTAGATATAGAACGATATATTAGTACATCTAAAATAGCGGAAATATAGCGCGGAGATGTCGAAATTTCAAAATTACATACATTTTTCAGTAAGAATATGAATAATTCTCGTAACTAGCGTCTCTGCTCCTTTTGGGCAATTTTCAACCAGAGCTAGTAGTTGTGGACTGCCCATTCCCAAAGACCTAACAGGTCCTTCTACTAGTCTAAGAACCATACGTTTTACATCCGCGCTCATCGATGTGTAAACTCTTGCCAATCTACAAACATACAATTGATAGAAGTATGCGTTTACTTCTTCGAATACGTTCGTTAAAAAGTTACTTACTCGTGAATTAGATCTTGGTGCTCACTCAAGAGAGCAAGATACAACCCAAGGCAAGCTCTTGTAGTCGACTCAGACCATTGGGTTTCTACTTGCGGTCTACCTCGATCTTGTCCAAAGACTATTTCGGGTGGACTATGAAGCCGCAAGAAACCTAAATAAAGAACCGCGTACTCTTCTATGAGTTTACTTAATTCGAGACGACTATATAACTGACAAACTAATTGTATAGCAGCCTCCCTTATCTATTCGAAGAGAGAAAAAATAGAACGTTTAAAGCGCTTGGATAATACATACGGTTCAATGTACCAAGTGTAGTAAATAATATGATACATTATAACTTACAGTGGTGTTCTCGTGACCAGTATGACATAATAACACGTTCAAAAAAACTAATTGTTTTGTCGGTCTGCGAATAACCATGTCTTTCAATAGTTGCAATGGTGCCAGGCCCCTTGTCTCATCAGAAGAGACCATTTTCAAAGCCTCGACAGCGTCTTCGGTAATCAAAGGGGCTTCCAAGTACAATCTTTGCTCGAATAAGTACTTGGTTAATATTGTTTTTCCCTTTTTTTTTATTATTATTATTAAGTATTTTATTCGATCTATTACCTATTTAATAGCGCGTCACGATCTTTGCCTTGAACCAGATCTATCGCTGATACTAAGGTACATAATAGAAAGTTGTAAGCTTGATGTGGAGCTTCTTGAGGTTTTGTACACAGTGTCGTTCGTCTTTGGAAACCTTGAAGTAACGCATATTCTTCGTATAACCAGCCTAACGCCAGATCCAAACGATTTCTCATGTCATCGGTAATATAACGTAATACTGCTTCTTTAATATAAGGATTGAACGTTGCAGCTAAAGTCGTTAAAATTTTTGACCTGAAATAGACATGATGTTCCGGATTCGAATAATATTTTTCGCGAGATAATGTATCGACAAAGCTATTTACCTTATAGCTGCTACACCGCTGAACGCGGCTGTCTTTTCGGAAAATAAGATTCTATTAACAGCCATCAGTAACATTTTCTCTTTTACTTCTTTCGGCAATGGTTTCGTAACCTCGGACAATTTTAAAGCTTTCAAACGATTTCTCGCTTTTGCAAGTGATTTTTCGTGTGCCTCTAAGGATGCCTTCGCCTCTTTTTCTTTCTCTCTGTCTTTTTCACGTTTTCGTTCACGTTTTGCTTCAGCCACACTAATTGTTGGATTTTTCACTAAATCCTCCATCACAGCGTCTTCATCTTTAGCGTCTTTTTTCTTTTTCGCTTTAGCTTGTTTTATTTGCGCAGCTAATAATTTAGCAATCGTTTGCCGTTGAATATTAATATCAGTCGTTGATGTAGGTTGATATTCTCTTTGAAAGATGGTCGTCATTGTATCCGGAACCCATGCCTGCGAATGAAATACAATCGATAGAAGATAATTTGATGGAATCTTCAATCCATGACAACTGTACACAAAATATTCTATACCATGCTATCCATTACTAAATCTGTAGCAATTTCTACGCTCAATCTTTCTGCGATAAAGTTTTCCGAAAGTTCCATTAGTTCAGGTAATTTTGGGGGTGGTACTGGAGTAGGTAGAATTTCTGGTTCATCTGGTACTAAAGCAGTTTCGATTTTAACGCGTTTTGCAGCAGAAGCAGCAGCCGCTTCCTAAAACATATACGAATTAATCGACGAATAAACTACTATCGATGCTCGTAATTTAGAATAAATATGCACTTACTTGTTGACGTTTTTTCATACGTCGAATATCTTCCGGCTTTGGATAAGCCTTAATTATTTCTTGTTCTTTGGCTCCAAGTTGTGTCAATTGTTTAGCTATGATAGAGGCGAATTCTATACTAGCTGGGTGTTTCATAAGTCCTAATAACGTTAATTTCAATTGCTTCTGAACGCTAGTTACTTGAGAATCCGATAACGTTGGCGGTAAATCGTGTTGTAGCCTTTGCAAAGCTGTGAATTGAAATGTTTAAATTACGATTCCGATATAAATGTTATTTCCATTAACGTTATTTACCTTGTATTACACCTGACATAAATTGAGGCCTTGTTTTAGCGATCAATGCCAGAGATCCCATGCATGTCATCAAATTTACGCTGCTAACATGCGGAGATCCATGAAATTTAATTAATAAATCCATTACATCATTAGCTTCTTCTTCTAATTTTCGTCTACGAGCTATTTTTAATGTTAATGGAATATCTTCTAAAGAAAAATCATCCGGTTTTTTGGGCGAATCTGGATCTGGATATGTTTGTATCAAAACAACACCCTCGAGAAATTTCACAGCTTGCGTCCTAATTCTGAAATGCAAATAATTTTTTATTAATGTGTACTTGACTGTGACAACTGGGTAGTACGCGGTATGTTCTTCTTACCCGTCGTTATCGCTGTCTATCATATTTATGATTTGAATCTTAAGAGCGCTAAGTTGACTCCATGCTACTTCCATTTCTGGAGTAACCGTAGTGGCACTGGATATCCACTTGAGCGCGGCTCTCAGTATTCTACCACTAGCTCTAAGAGCTCTTTTGGCAACAGCTGAAGATTCATCTGAAACTAATCTTAGAAGTACTTGAACTAGACGTGGTATTACTTCCGGTTGTTTTACTCTGCAAATAAATTAGAATTAATACACAGACAACAAAAGAACCACTAGAATGACATATATAGTATATTATGTGTTTGTAATTACCCAGCTTCTTCTATGAAACCTGTAACTGTTTTTCTAACGTCTGCATTTCTGTCTACCGAAAACTGTAACACTTCATCCAAATATAACGGAAGCAATTGTGGTTCTTTGTTTACCAATATTTCTTGGACTTTGCATAGATTTGTGACTTTTACATCTCCTGTTGGATTTAAGGAAGCCTCGTTCAACCATTCAACTATCTGTAAAATGTAATACAGAGCAAGTTTCTCAATTATCCTCAATTTTAATATTAAAAATATTTCGCATTTATAATTGAGGATTTTATTGAATTGTCATAGTGTCATCCGTAAAATTTATTTGGAAATTGTTGAGGTTATAACACTAACCAAATCACCCGGTCCCTTTTCCAGTTCTGTTCTTCTGTGTATTCGGGGATCCATATTACGATTCGAGACGAAGTTTAAACGTAAGAAAAATTTATCGTGAAACAAGGTGTCAAACAATTATACGTGAAAGTTTGATTTCGATCTTTCGATATGTTATGCGGTCAACGCGTATACATCGCATAAGTTAAGACCTGCTTAAAATACAAATAATTTTTCCTACAATCAAGAGAAAAGTCTATGGTTTTCTATGCGTTAATTTTTTCGGTAACCTGTGCAGAACAGAAAATTCAAAGTCAATGAACGATAAAATCTATCAAAATAGCTTGCGATGCCATCTTAGCGCAGCCATTTTTTATTATCCCCATATTCCTATTCACATAACTCCATTCTCCATTCTCATTGGGTGCATTCAGACAAGTTGACGTTGGAGAAGCGGGAATTTTAAAGTTTCTAGATAACAATCGATAATAAATCAACATTCAAATATAAGGTTATGTTTTCCTTAACACTGTATCTACGAGCTACGAGACACCAGTAACTAAAAATTAAGGAAACAAAGAAAGAAATCCATTTATTGAGATAAAATCTTTATTAGATTTGTCCATAAGGTTGACTTTTGAATACAAAAAAATCTGTTATTATTTAGATGAAAGAAACTAAACTTTTACATATGTACGTGTATGTGCAAAGTTATGGTTAAGTTGTAAATTGTTATTTAACTATGGATGAGTCGTGATGCTATTATGTATATATATATATATGTGTGTGTGTGTGTGTGTGTTTTCGGTGATACAAAAGTCATCGTAGGTTGAAAAATGATCAGTGTATTTCCATTCGGAATGTCAAAGGTCGCGTAGATTCGATTGGAGCACTTAATCTGACAGATAACAGTGGATCAATTGATCGAGAGATATGAAAGTACATGTAAGTTATGAATTATGAAAGTGTGATATTTATTGTACGCGTATGTTAATCAAACAGAGGGCAATCGTTTTTGTGTCTGTTCATCTGTCTGCAGAAGCATCCAGTGATATGATTTCAAGTTTTTATGAAAAAATTGTTGGTACATCTACAGCAGCGCGGAACCAACAGAAAATTCTTTGCGTCGGATTGACTTGTTTGGACATCGTGCAGACCTGTAAACAATACCCCGCGGAAGATTCCGATCAAAGGTATATAGAAGTTATTTCGTTTCTCTTCGCGATTGCGCAATTTCACATTTTATTATTTTAGTTAATGCTGTAGTTTTCGATAGTTTATGCAATTAGTGAAATTTATTCATTTCATATTTCGTGATAAAATGTCATTTTTTCATCTGAAAATAATAATAATAGTAATAAATACTTTACAGATCTGTGGAATACCGATGGCAAAGAGGCGGCAATGCGTCTAACACTTGTACTGTCCTTTCCCTATTGGGAAGTCTGTGCGAGTTTTTTGGCACCTTAAGCGCAGAAGAACACCTAAAGTTTCTGCAAAACGATATGCGGAAATATAACATTAATTTTTCCCATTGTCCTATGGTAGAAGGCGTTGGATGTCCTACATCCACTGTTACGTTAAGTCTAAGTTCTGGTTCGCGGACAATTTTACATCACAATCCGTGTCTACCGGAATTAACGTTAAAAAATTTTGAACAGCTGCATCTTCAAGATTACAGCTGGATTCACTTTGAGGGCAGGAACTTGGACCAAGTATTAGCTATGTTGCAGTACGTAGAAAACTACAATAACACATTGAATTATCATGAAAATTCTAGCACGAAAGAGACCGATTGGAGGCAGATACCAATTACGGTTAGCATAGAACTAGAACGTCCGAAACAGGAACTGTTAGATTTATTACCATACGTCGATGTAGCGTTTATATCGAAAGATTTTGCCCAAAGTAGGGGATACGACAATATGAGCGAAACTTTAAAGAATATTAGCGAAGATGCTAAGTCTGGGTATGTTTGTATATGAAAAGATAGTTGAGAATTATAAGCGTAACGTTGATACGCTAATACGCGTGGTTTCTTTCAGAGCAACGCTAATCTGTGCTTGGGGAGATCGAGGTGCTATGGCAAGAACACCGGATAACATTACCGTGCAGTCTCCGGCATTTCCACCTCAAAATATCGTGGATACGTTGGGTGCTGGTGACACTTTCAATGCTGCAGTATTGCATTTTCTGAATAAAACTAAATTGGATTTCATTAAAATGAGAAAATCAGAATCGTTGCAAGTAAACGATACCATAGAAAAAGAGGAGAAACTGAAACGGAATATTGAAAAGAATTACAAAATTGAAAGCGACGAATGTAGTCATACAGAATTTATTACCCAAGACATTTTACAATCAGCTATAACTTTTGGATGCCAAGTAGCTGGTGTCAAAGTTGGTTTAAAAGGCTATAATAAGATAGACGAAATTATTCGAGATATGTTAGAAAGCTAGCCGAAATATTACGTTACATTGCATGTACATATTTTAGGGGTATAATTTTGTTCGATTTTTGTTAGAAAAAAATGAAATTTTTTAAAGATATATTTTTATAAGTTATATTTGCTGTTTAAAGTTTATTGGACGTTAAAAGTACAATAAAGTGATTTGATATTTTTTCATCCGTTTCTGTCTCGATTAAGAATGAAACCTATATAGGGTAGAATACAAGTAGAATAACGTACGACGAAACATTTATTTAAAAAGAATGAATGAAAGAATGAAAAAAGTAGAAGCTGTCTAAAGATCAGTGGTAAATGTTAGCGGTGGGACGAATACCTTAAGATATTTCCTTAGCTGACGTAAAATTATCTCACAAGTTTCCAAACAGTAATAATTACATGTGCATATAAACGAATGGGGAAAAACTGGTCCGTTTTTACAATTGAAGAGTATCGGTGCGGATTGTAATCAAGACAGGTTTTCTTTTCCATGAATAGGAATATCAGACATTGGTTAAGTATCCGCTTCGACGCCGGCGTCTACGAAGTCTCTCAGGCTACGTGCGCACTCGTCGGGGGCACATCTGAAACGAAGAAAAGGAGGCGTTGAATTGATCGAGCGATCGAGGAAAGCCTAAATCGATGGTCGCGACACGTATACCTGACGAAAGAATTAACGTAGATCCAAACCGCGGGAATGGATATCTCACGAATGTTTCGTCTTTGCGCTTTAACTATTTCAGCAACTGCCTCTTTCGGTGAAACCATCGCCATGAGCTTTGGGAACCTAAATGGAAAGAATTCTGTTTATTGATCGGTTTTCAAACTAATTGTTTCTCGCTTACTATTATTTATTTTATTGTAGCATATTCGGTCTATTTAATTTAAGTTTGTTTGTTCCGTTCGGAAATCGTACGCTACCTTTGGTCCAATAATCCAGCCTGCATGTGGAAGCATATACGCGAGCAATATTATTAAATAAATGACATCATGTTAGATAATATTAATGTATGCAACGTGTAATAGTTCCATACAATTAATAACTGTTAAGTTGTGTAATCTGCTATAGGAATTAGTTTGATACCTGAGCTTCGGCTTTTTGCAAAGGCCAGTGTCCACCATGTAAGGATAGATCGTCGTGAAATTAATGTTAGAAACCTTATCCTTGTTCAACGTTACGAGTTCTTCGTTCAGGCTCTCCATCATTCCTGTAACCATTTACATATACATAGATACAAAAATATATAGGCGCGCATATAATACAAAGAAGACGCAAAGTTAATATAAGATACATCGTCGAACAAGGTAAAAGGACGAGGAACACGATTTTTACCTCTTACTGCAAATTTCGAGGCGCAGTAAGGAACCAAGTTGGGTATACCGATGAATCCGGCCATCGACGAGAGAGCAACAATATGTCCGTGATTTTTCTCGATCATGCTGGGTAGGAAAGCTTGTACAGTCTGCGAGCGAATTAAACGATCGTGAAATGTAAATTGTACGGTCGTTGAGCGGTTACGAAGATAAGAAACAAGCGAAATACTAGCTCACCCAACAGTGCGCCAGCACATTGACGTCGAATATTCGTCTGATCTCTTCGGGTGAATGCTCCAAGAAAGCACGACAAGGCATTATGCCAGCATTGTTGATCAAGATCGTTACGTTCCCAATGTCCTTCCTTATTTTCTCGGCTACGCTAAACACTTCTTCCCTGTCCGTTACGTCGCATCTGTAAAGCCCGAAGTGCGCGTGTTTAGAACTCAGCAATTTGAAAATATGAAATCATACAATTCCCCCGTTGTATTTATTAAATTAATCTAGAGACTATAATTTCTCGAGAAGGAAACGCTTAAAATTAAAATCATTAAATTAAATTCGGTACACGAATCGTTTATATTCTTTCTTTCGAAACGGTGACATGTTCTTTATACCCCTTACGACACTGTACGAATACTCGAACGAATATCAAGCGCGGATGAACAAAGTTTTCACGTACCTGTAACCGTACGCCTTCGTCGCGCCCATTTGTTTAATTTCGTTCACCGTTTCATCGTTCGCTTGTTGGTTAATGTCCCAGCAAACAACGGTGGCTCCTAACGATGCATACTTGAGCGCTAATTCTTTGCCAATTCCGTGACCTGCACCCGTCACCTATTTCAAAGCAGTACGATACTGATTCCATGATTTACGCTCTACGATGTTGATACGGTAGTTTTTCTCCTTTTTTTTTTTACGCAGTAAGAACCCGGACAATAAGGAAAATTCCTTTACTTCATTTATGTTTACAACAAAGTGCGCGTTTGTACTTCTCTTTTTTTTTTTTGTATCGTAAATGAGATTCAAATTTTTGAGAGTCATATATCAGGCTGTACCAAAAGTTTCTTTCGCTTTATTAATAAGTAATACATGCACAATATTTTATGTTTTATGTTACATTACTGAATTTTGCACGATTCATTTTGCTGCATTACTATTACAACATGAATATTTATGAAATTAGATTGTCTATTTATATAAACACTGCCACGTACGATAATTGAGTGGAACACGCGAAAGAAACTTTCGGGACAACCTAATATTATACTTATACAGTGGGTGTAGAAAGTATTCGTACATCGATCAATTTCCAAAAAAACTATGTAAGATTCTAAATTATTAACTTATTTTTTATAAACAATGACATTCTACATATTCTCGGAAATCTCTGGAATAGCTATTTATGTAAGTTGCGAAATTAACAAGAAAAAGAAAATTAATCGATAGAAATGTTGAAGCAATATGAGTATTCGGACAACTGTTTAAAAGTACTTTACTGGAAATTTGATGTTTTCTAATTCGTACGGAGCAATAAACTAATGTGTTTACGTTAAAAACTCTACTGTAAATGGTTCGTCATAAGAATCGTACAAATATTTATTGCTTCTATACTTTTACCCTATTTTTCGCACATTTTTTGTTAATTTTACAAATTATATTAATTAGTAAATGTTGTTTGGACTATATCCATCTTAGAGATTTCCGAGAATATGTAAAATATCATTGATTATAAAAAAAAAAAAAATTAAGAAACTACGAATACATTCTACACCCACTGTATATGTTGTTTTCCTTCGCGGGTAACATTGAAAAATTGATTCGGTAGAGGGAGGAGGAAACTGCTGGAAAATTGCTGAACAAGTACCAAAACAATTTCTCCGGCCACGTTCTTCTCCTCGACGGGGATGAACAGCCTATATATTCCTACGCAGATGTAATAAAGTGTCTTGAGGAGTAACAGCAGAACGTCTGCTAGCACCAATACACCCCCATACGCCTTAACCATGGCTTCCCGAGATACTTTCCTGTAAGATGAAGGTTTTCGTTGGTTTTCATTTTATTTCGTTAACGGGAAACGAGGGACAAGCAACGATTACGATCAAACAACAAACGGGTACAATTGCAGTGATTTCGTTTTCGGTTCCGAGCTTGTTATGACATATTTTCACGTCGTGTTTCGCTGTCGTTGCGTCGGAGTCTCGCGCTTTTCCGCGAGACGAGCAATAATAATTTTTTAATAAAACGTTCCGAGTGCGTTATTATCGAAGAATCGGTTAAGATCGCAATAATATACGTTAACGAGTTTTTTTCTTATAATTACGAGATCAAAAGAGTTTGACCTCCTCCAATTATGCACGAGATGCAATTAACGCATCGATTGTTCCCCAAGGCGACATCGATTAAGTAGCAAATGCCCACGTAAAGAATGTCAATGAGGAGAAAAAATCATCGAAAACATTGACACTTGAGAAACAGAGATTACTTTGATAGGTTTGATCTAGAGATCAGTTTAGATCTAGAGATTTCACTCTAGAGATTAATTCGATAGTTTTTATAGTAGTCCTAGCATATTCTTCGAAGATCAACGTCAATTACGTAACTATGTACACAACTATGTATCCCGTATTTATATGTATCTGTATACAGTGGGTGTAGAAAGTATTCGTACACCGATCAATTTCCGAAAAAAAACTATGTAAAATTGTAATTTTGTATTCCTTTTATATTTTTACCCACTTTTCCCATTTCTTTGTTAATTTCACAAATTATATTAACTAGTAAATGTTGTTCGGACTATATCCATCTTAGAGACTTTCGAGAATATGTAAAATATCATTGATTATAAAAAAAGAAGTTAAGAAACTACAATTTCACGGAAAAGTTTTTTTGCGAAATTGATCAATGTACGAATACATTCTACACCGACTGTATGTATCAAGAATAAGTAGCGATAGATTCTTGTTCGAGACAGCAAGTGTTTGAAATAAGTCTCGAAAGTCTTGGAAACTTTCGAACGTCTCGATCAAGCAGGAATTAGAAATAGTTTTAAACTTTGACAGACGATAACATGCTCACTTTGACACGCGAACATGCTCGTAGGAAACGTAGCTAAATTCTAAGAGGGAAATTGATAATCTATTTCTAACCGCGTTCGCGTTTGTAATTTTCGCTATTATTTATATCTATCGTGTACGTTACCGTCGCTCGTGGTATTCTTTGATATGTTATTCGAAATAACAAATCAAACATTTGTACATTTTCTTATTGACGTTAAGTGTTTCAGCTCCTTTTTAAATATGCAATCTGTACTTGAAACGATATCGTTCTAACGTAAACGTCCGAGGATTTCCATATCGATTCGGAATTTTAATATCCGTCGAGACTTTGACGGGCGTCTGAAGCTTTCAGTTTCCAAATAATATTCAAAACGATTCGCGAATCCCGAAGTACGAAGAGAATCCAGAAAAAGAATCTTACCGATCGACGTCTCGTTGTACACGTATCTATATGTGTATACGTACGTATGCACGTGTCTATGTACTTATATACGCATATACGAATATGTCCTTCAAAGAGAGCAACTTCAACGATACCGAACGCGATACCGTCTAAAATGTCCCGCCACAATTTCGCTCGAAAGAGACGCGCCGAGTTGTTCCCGATCGATCGAACAGAAAAATAACGACGAGTTAGCAAGCGTTTCCGTTCGTGTTCGAATCGCGACTAAACCGTCCGCCTATAACGTTTTCGTTACCGCTACCAAAGAGAAGCTTCCCATCGCTGGCAATCGACCATACGTCGCGTCGCATGGCATAAGTATGTGATTATTGGGGGATCGGCGAGTCGCGAGTCGCGAGTGTCAGCTGAACTGCGTTACAGACTGCGTTACAAACCGCAGCTGATTGCGTTGCGTAATTTACGAAGTCCGGTCCGGTACGGGCTGGCCTACCGATTTCGAATAAAATCGATCGAATCCGATATGTATAGTCGCTGGTAGGGGTCTTGTGAGATCGTACACCGAAACAGCAGTTATTACTTTATTAGGACAAGTAATTGATCCCTAGGACGACAGGGATGACGCGGCTCTAAGGGTACATGAACGTTCCACCTCGGGGTCCCACAACACTAAATATTAGGAGTGTGCGGGATTCCCGTAAATATCCGGGATTCCCGAGAATGTACGGGATAATATCTGGGATTTCCGAAAGTGTTGTTATTCTTGAAAATTTCAGCAATCCGAACGTACGGGATTTCGAAATTCCCGGGAATCCCGAACATTTACGGGATCTCGAAATTCTCGGGAATCCTGAATGGTTTCGGGATCCCGGATGTATTCGGGATTTTGAAATTCTCGGGATTCCATCCCGATCCCGGGAGGAATTCCCGTCCCGACCGGGATCCCGCGCACCCCTATTAATTGCGGTGGTCGGCTTAAGTTGTAAAAATCGATGTCCGATCGATTTTACGACCTCACAAGATCCCTACCAGCAAGTATACTTACTTATGTATCTTTAAATATCTTTAAAGTTACTCTTTCTTTGTCGCGCCGTGCCCGTGCCGGCCTTTAAGCAAAACAACTTCGCGCCTCGTCTCGCAAATATAAATATAAATATTAAAATAATCTATCGCCTCGTCATTCGTTCTTTTTGTCTATTCTTTCGACTAGTGTGCTTTTTCCCGTATTCCTTCGAACGTTAAATCGAACGTTAAATCAAAGACTCGCGTTCTTTCCTTTCTCGTTTGGCTCTCGCGCTATATCGAGGATAAAAAACTTGCCGAAAAGAGCACAACGGAAATTTCTCAGGTATGCGTCCTTCGAAACCGGTCGCCCTTTGGTCGTCAGCCGATGTTATGGTTTAGCCCGGTCGTCTGATAATTGTACGCGTCGTTAGCGCAGCGGAGAAATTTTACAAACGTGATTCCGAGACGGCGCAGACGAGCAGAGGTAAACGCCGCTTTATCCGGAAATCGCGTAACTGAATAATACATAATTATCGAATTAGACGTATGTCAACACTCCAACTATTCCCAAGTACCAAGTTTCAAAAGCCTATCTTGCCTGCGGGCACTGTGGCACGAGCCGCGCGAGGAACGACGCACGACCAATGACGCTGGATTCTGTCTCGCGTGTCGACGATATACACGACGATGTACTTACTCGTCCATGTTATAATGCTTACTGCAACTCGCGAAAGAAACTTTCGGGACAAACTAATATATTTCGCTCGACGATGTTACGAACACAACGGCCTTATTGTTGCTACAGAATTTCGATCGGATTACACCGTAGAGCTTTCGAAATCGTATCCGAAAAAATGATCGTTTTCCGCGAAAGAAAAAAAAATCAAACTTCTCTCGCGGTGTCCTTTTCGTGAGTTGTTGCTCTTTTCAGCTTGCCGATAGAATCACGCTTCGCATTATTTTCGCGACAGCGAGTAATTGTAACAAAAAAAACACATACCATGTATTTTGTTCGGGCATCTTAGATCGCATCGTACACAAACAACACCCGTAATCGTTTCGAGAACCAGTGACTGCGATATGTTCTCGATGATAAAAATAGCCGTTTAAAATGGGAGATAAGGAAACCGAGTATAGAGCGGGGGAAGCAGCAGAGAGACAGAAACATTTCCGTTGGATGAAAATCGTTGGATGAAACAAAATAATTATTATGATTTTGTATAAACATGTACAAGTGTATACTTACGTAAACATTGAGCGACCGTTTAGTACGGTCTTTCTTTATCAGAGCGCAGTGTTGACGGACTGTTTGCAGTTTTTCTGTGATTACGCTTCTAGCGACGCTTCTCCCGCGGGCAAGGTCTCGTGTCGCTAGATTTATTCGAGTATTCTTACCGATCGAGATGGTGAGAGCGTTAGGCCTTTGAGAACGAAGAACCTACGGAGGATCGTTACCTCGTGTATTACGAACCAACGATCGATCCAAGTTTTAAGCGATTTTTACACGATATCTACCGGATTTAACCGGTGATCGCGAGTAAAAATTGGATCGATAATTGAGAATTCGCGACGAATTCGCCGCGAACGTATTTCTTGTTTCGTCGGCTGGCAAAGACCGGCTATAGAGTATAGACGACCGTGGGTCAATGCACCGATTCATCGATTTTCCATTCGGACGTAAGACATCTACTTGATAGCCCGTAATATTGTATATAGTATATGTATAGCTATTATTGTAATTCGCGTCATTGATTAGTAGACTGCGGATCTTTATACATTTATTGGAAATTTAAATGCGCGAAAACCTACGAGATGCAAACGATATGCAAGAATATAGAAAAGATTGAAATTAAAGTTCACGTTATAATATTTGCGGAATAAAATAAATTTCTATTTAGGTTCAATTTTTGTAGGCACGTTCGCGAATATTTTATTTTGCATAAAGATTCGCAGTCTATTGATTAGTCTCGATGAGTTTCATCTCGAATGCAATACGATATACCGGCTCGCCGCGTTACTCGAAATTTCAAACATTTCGATTGATTCCAGTCACGTTTGCTTTCTAAGAATTCCAGATATCATGCGTTTACGCAAACGAAAGACGCGGAAAGCATACGGAACGATTAACTCGGGTGTCTTTTGTTCGAATATTCGAGCTAGACAAACGCCCGAAGCGGGCCATTAGGCCAATCGGTAGAGCATTTTTGTGTGACAAAAATAGTAACAGCAAACCGGATTGTGCAGTTACATAAAAGGGGATGCGTTGATTAATAGGTATATGTTTTTCACTCCCAACTCTGTTCCGTTTTCTTGTTATTTACAATTTAATGGTAAAAAATCGTGATTTTTGTCGTTTTTTGCTTATAAATTTTAAACTAATGCAGCAATATCAATGCTCCGATGAGATAAAATGTAGGCGATGAAAATACCTACAGAATGAGACCTCGAACGTGTCGATCTGATAATGAGGAACGGAGAAAAATATGGAATACCGGAAAATTCAGCGTTTCTTCAAAAATTCGTATCTCCGTCATTTTTTAAACTGAAGCGCTGGCCTTTTGGGAACAAGTAGTGATTGATATGTTCTTTATGTGTGCAAAAAACGGGAATTGTCGAATAGGTGGTTTTCTCACAATCGCAATCTGAATTTTTCAGTGCGTTTTCTTCCATCGGGCCTGTATGCGTTATCGTAAGCCCGATTTTAATTTTTAAAAAAGATTTGAATAGTTGACGTCGCCGTAGTACAAAACGTATATTCTAGTTTTTCCAGACTTTTCTCCGTTCCTCATTCTGTAGGTATTTTCATTACAGAGGACTTTTGTAAACGAAGGGCCTGACGTCAGCGGTGTCCACACGACTGTGATTTCTGGCGGAGGTCAGAACTGTACCAACTTGCATCGAGGCAAGAACTTTCTGAATTTATTATCTTTTTACACTTGTATTGTCGCTATTTTTGTGCGGCCTATAGATTTCATCCTGACTTCCTTACTCTGATCTTACACTTTTTACAATTAGAATAGCGTCTTTGCGTCGGTCGCAACCATTTTTAATACTTTTCTATTTCTCCTATTTCGCTCGGAAATGCTTCAATCCCGTCGTGACTATTGTTAGACCGGTTGATGGACGTAAAAGACGATAGTCCATTGACCGTTTCGTGTTGCCTCTAGGAATAGTGAAATCGATATACACAAGGTTCATGAACCTTCCTCTGCGAGAGAAAAAGTGCTTTGAATAACGAAGAATGCAGGTAACATTTCGAATGGAGCTACTTTTTAGTGAAGAAATTTACCTACACTCGAGTAGTACGGACCCTTAACTTTTCACAGAAAAGTTGGGAAAAATATCCCACACTTCGATCATTTGCGGTTTTGATCGATAGTCTTCGTATACGATAAGGAACTCATTTCATCTTATAGATGTATTTAATAAGATCTAATAATATAGCTAGTTACTTTCATGCTTAATCAGCCATTCAATTGAGTCAAATTATTTTGATCCGAAATCGATTGTATGACAATATATGAAAAACACGCCATTATCACTAGATTTGAACAATCCAAACTGATCCAAACCCAGCGAGGCCCATTAGCTCAGTTGGTTAGAGCGTCGTGCTAATAACGCGAAGGTCGTGGGTTCGATCCCCCCATGGGCCAGTTTTTTTGTTAACAAAATTATTTAGTGCCCTCGTTCAACTATTTTTTTCGCATATTCTTTGAAACGTAATACATTTCCACGTTACTCAATTTTTTCTTTTGACAAAAATCGATTCGCTCTTGTAAGTTTGGGATAGAAACCGCTGCCAAATGGTAAGGTTGTAATATCGTGATTCCAAGTTATTAATTTTTAGAGGATATTTTACAAGTCTCAACTATTTTATTTTTGTACACGTTCTTAAATATAAAAGTCGCCGAAACATAATTATAAATTTTATTACGAAGCGTCGATTTCTCCTAAATATATTTGTTTATCGCTAGACCCGGAGCAGACTGGAAAAAAAAATATTCACTTAGAATAGTTACGATAAAATAAAATACATACATACTTCTAATACGAAATATACGAGTATTACCAATCGGTTCCTTTGGGTGGAAATCGATGTCGTTAACAGAGCCATTATGACCAGGTAATTTATACAATATCCTGCGACTCGTAGTGTCCCAAACATAATGAAATCTGTCCGATGATCCAGCTGATACTTTGCTGCCATCCGGTGACCATGCGCACCTTAATAGATTCTGTAACATAATTATATAAATAATGACAATCTTGCATCATAGTTGAAATAAACGAGAATACGGTAACACACCTTTTCAAAGTTATGTTGGTGGCCGGAAAGAATTTTGACGCATCGTTCGTAAGGAGCGAACGGTCTTACGTCCCAAATTCTTAACGTGTTATCCATGGCATTGGAAAGAATATAGGAGCCATCAGGACTCAGGCTCAGGCCAGTAATGGTATCCGAATGTCCTTTAAGTTTATAAAGAATGGAGTTCTTCCTCAGATCCCATACTTTTATATCGTTGTCTATTCCACCGCTTATTACTTGTTCCGCTGTATCGTTAAATGTTACGGCGGTAACCTACAACACAAACATTTCATTAAACATCATCTGTAATCGAAACTTCCAAAACTACGAATAAACCATTAATACCTGATATGTATTGTTTAAAGTGTAACACTGTCCTCTTTTCCTAGGATCCCATACGCGTATCGTACTATCGTCGCTACCGGAGCAAAGTTGCGTAATACCTCTTCGTGCACCCGAAACAGAGTTAACGAAAGAAGTGTGACCTTTGAGTTTTTTAATTCTAGTACCAGCGACTATGTCCCATAAACCTAATGTCATGTCTGTACTAGCAGTGTATAAGTGACTGCCATCGGGGCTAAAGTGTAATTCCATAATTGCTCCACTGTGTCCAGTCATCGCAGATATATTTTCACATTCTCCATAAACGTTCCAAATAACTGTAATTTTAATATGATATATAGATCTCTGTTACGATACAGATTTACAGACTTTTAGGTTATCAAATAACGTACAAACTTGTCGATCGAAACCGGTGGAAGCCAGGTACTGGCCCTCGGGATGAAATTCGAGAGAAAATATGTCTCCTTGATGCCCTTCCAAAAGCATAATCGGTGCTAACAAAGAAGAGGTTCTAGGTGGTCCCTGTGAAGCAAAAGAACAAACTTCTGTTAGTAAAATCAATCGCGAACCATCGCGAAACTAAGGTTAACCTTACGTTTTGTACGACCGCTTTTTCCCTGCTACTGAAGACCACTTCATTCTTAGTCCTTTTTGAAGCAGGAACCAATGCCAAAATATCATCGCCTTTACGTTTGTCTAAGATTGGCATGATGAATTATTTTAACACGGAATTGTAATTGTAACAGTTTATTCACAATCAGTTTATTGACAGATAAGTACACAACATAAACAAACGAGTACAAATGGGAGAGACAACTATACTGGTATTGGTTTAGCGATAGTAGCGCCATCGGTAAGGAAACGCTCAAGTTTGTAGTGAAAATAGTTCCCACTGTTATTGCTAGATGGCGGTTGGTCTAGTTTTAGTGGCGCCATCGGTGGGAAAACGCTCAAGTATGTAGTGAAAATAGTTCCCACTGTTGCTGCTACATGACGCCATTAATTAAAGGGTCGATAGTATTAAAAAAAATAAGAAATATGCCATATCAGCTGATATGTTGTAGTGTTATAAGCCAAAAGAATGTTACTAATTATGTATTTATGATAAATAAAAAATTTTTGTTCAAAGATATCGCTGGCGCCATCTAGTGTAAGAACAGTGGAAACTATTTTTACTACAAACTTTGGCGTTTTCCCACCGATGGCGCCACTGATATTATCGACTAACACACATGTATCGTACACACGCATATCGACTCACAATTCACATTTATACTTATTTGTAATTGGCAATTACATTTGAACCTAATCGTCTTTGATTATGATTTTCATTTTTCACGCATTTAATTTTTTCTTTGATTGCCTTTATTTTAAACATTCCTTTATGATCCATCGTACAGTACGAACGTGTTTTCCAACCAGCTCTTTCAATTAATGTTTTCATTTAAATAAATTGTACCCCGCCCAAAATACAAAACAAAACAAAGACAAAACACCTGCCCACAGAGCGGCTTTGGATGCATCCATTGAGAAAAACAAGAAACTAACATTTTTGCCAACAGAAAAAATTATGTTAACGCTATAAATAAAGAAATTGTGCAGTATTTGGCATACAGTTGTGTCTTTCTTTTTGAAATAAATCTGTATAAAAAATAGTTAAAATGGAACCATTCCTGCTACTGTTTTACGTTTCTGTAGCCCAATCGACCTGGGCGAAAAGAACCCTGAAAGAACCCTGCTTGCAGAAACCTTGTTGGTTTACTTGATATTATTCAGACATGCCATTACTAACGTAAATAAATGATTACTCGAATGAAATCGCTAGTCTAATTGTAAGCGTAGTTACATATTTGATATTCTGTTCTTATTTGAATAGGGCCAAGACTCTGTCTGGTTTTGGTATCAGCTGATTAATACAGAGGAACACGCATGCGTTGAGACCCTATGATGGTAGCGGAACTTCGTAGTTACGAAAAGTCTCTCGCGGTGTCTCGTCTCATATGCTTGCCGGCGAAGATGTGATAGAATTCCACGGGTAAACGATTGTTCGAGCGAATGTTGCGATCAAAGAAATAAGTAACGATGAACCTAACCACTGGGAATCCTCACGGGAATGGTTTACTCTACGCAGATTTCAATCAGGATCAAGGTATGTGACCGAGTGTGCTACATTTGACAGCCCGGTCACGGACTGTCAAAATTTATTTTTTCACTTCTAACCTCTGCGTCCGATGCCTCGTACGGATTTATCATGGCTTTACTTCTCTAGATTATTGCTATCATTTTGATATGATACAATGTATTTTCGTCATCCATTTTTTACTGAAAAATCAATCAAATTGAAACTTCAATAGCGTTTTCTGCTTTCTAACCTCATTTGAGTATAATTTTGATGTTTTCAATAATAAATGTGCAGTATAATTTTCTCGAGAAGTTACATTTAAACGATTTACTTCCTACTTAATCTAATCTCTTAAGCATAAAATTATTTCGTAATAGTGCCTATTTTCGTTATTTACAGAAATTGGCTTGTATTTTGATAACATTAAATAAATTTCCTTGACATTGATTTGCTTGATCACTGATTTTATTAACGTTGCTAGAGAATTTAGTTTATATACTTTATTTTCTGATGCATTAAAAATGTTGTGTGATTGTGTTTATTCAATTGATCGGGTTTATCTTCTCACTTTTTCTATGTCTGCAGCAATGCACTCATTAAATAAGAAACAAGAATGCTTTGAATACTGTGTTGTAATCACAATGAAAAAAGATAAATATGTAACACACAAGCAGATAACAATATCATTATTGCTTGGATAACTTTCCACTTATAGGATGTTTTGCTTGTGGAATGGAAAATGGCTACAGAGTTTATAATTGCGACCCTTTAAAGGAAAAGGCCCGTCATTTCAGTGATGGAGGCCTTGGTCACGTGGAAATGCTATTTAGGTGTAATTATTTAGCACTAGTTGGCAGTGGAGCAAAACCAATGTATCCCACCAATAAAGGTAAAACTTTTTATATACTGTTAACACTTTAAATGTATTAAAGCAATGAATTATTTATCTTCTGAAATGTTTGCAGTTGCTATATGGGATGACCTTAAAAAATTACCAACGATTACTTTAGAATTTAATGCTCCTGTAAAAGGTGTTAAACTAAGGAGAGATAGGATAGTAGTAATTTTAGAAGGTGTTATAAAAGTTTACACATTCACGCAAAATCCTCAACAGCTTCATGTATTTGAGACTAATCCCAATCCCAGAGGACTATGTGTATTATGTCCAAACAGTAGTAATTCTTTACTTGCTTTTCCTGGTAGAAAAAATGGACATGTACAAGGTAACATTTTAAGTGAAAAATTCTTTCAGTTTCACTTTTATGAACAGTTATCATAATTCTTTCTTCTGTTACAGTAATAGATTTGGCTAATACAGAAAAGCAACCTCTAAACATTGAAGCACACGAAACACCTTTATCTTGTATAGCTTTAAGCTTGCAAGGTACCAGGTTAGCTACTGCTTCAGAAAAAGGAACCTTAATAAGAGTATTTGAAACTCAGAGTGGAAATATGATTAACGAACTGAGGAGAGGAGCTCACCATGCAAATATTTATTGGTGAGGAAAATTAAATTACAGATAGAAGATATTTTATTGTCAAAATGATTTTATTGATTAAACTGATATATTTACAGCATAAATTTTAATCATGATTCTACTTGGCTATGCGTAGCTAGCGATCATGGAACTGTACACGTTTTTGCTGTTAAAGATCAGAAATTAAATCGTCAATCTAGTTTAGCGTCCGCCACTTTCCTGCCAAAATATTTTAGTTCAAGCTGGAGCTTTTGCAAATTTCAAGTTCCGGGAGGTCCGCAATGTATGTGCGCTTTTGGGGCTGACAGCAATAGTATTATAGGTCAGTATTGCAGTGTAAAATTACTTTAATTATAGGCGTATTAAATGCTACATGCAATTTTTTTTTATGTTACAGTTATATGTGCAGATGGTAGTTACTACAAGTTTGTATTCAATAATAAAGGTGAATGCACAAGAGATTTTTATGCACAGTTCCTTGAATTAACAGACGACAAAATGTGATCGGATGAAAAGGAAGTAAACTCCACAAGAGCCGTGGTAAACTCCTAAATACAAAGACATCACACTTACACGTTTCGCGATTTTCTTTTGTTTACCTATTGTTTGCTAAACAAACGAATGAGAGTACATACACCTTTAATACAATAAATTTAGTGTTTATTGTATGTGATGTGTAGTTTATATGGTAAGCAGGAGTTGTGTTTGTTATTTAAAATCATACTCTATGTGATAGAGGACCAAACGAAACGTACTATTTCTTTGTTTGTGATATATGCACTGTGTGTGAATTATGAATGGCAAATTGTAAGAAAAAATTTTAAAGAATACTAAAACATACTGTTATTCACTTGTTATATGGGCCTATCGCTGGAACTCTACTCATATAGAGTTGCAAGTTTTAAAATGTTGCAAGCTGAAAAAAGAAAGTATGTCTTTCTTAAACATAAATTACGAAATTTATGGTTAAAACTGATATGAATATTTCGAAAAAAAAGATATCGTGTGAAAATAATTAAGCTGTTTTTGGTATTAAGTGTGTGCTTTGCAATTGAATCATGTATTTTTTTTATATATACATATTTATTTTATGAAACTATAAATCTTTCGTTTATTGTTATAAGATGTATCATGATTGAAAACGTTTCATATCTCTTATTGTACACAAGTTTTAAGGATGACGTAAACATATACAACTTGGCTAATTATTGTAAACATCTTCGGTAATTACCCAATTAAACGATGAGACATATTTAACGTATTACAGTTTTGTAGTCTTTATTTTTATGATTTCCATACATTTAATATACATATACACAAAACACAACTACATTCAGTTGTTACTATTGAGATATTACCATAAAATATCAAGGTTGTAGTGTCATAAAGAAGTTGGGATTGAATATAAAATAAAAATTATTGCGAGACCAAACTCTGTATCTATTTATAATAAAATATCGATGACCCGTTGCAAGCGATGTATTTCATTCTTCTTCTTTTTGCTTCATCTTTTTTTTTCTTTAACTATCCGTGTAATCTATGAGTTACCTTAAAATGCTCTAACAATTAAGGTTCAGTCTTACAGAAGGAGAATAATATCGTCGCCTATACGAAAAATGAAACAGTTGAATGTAGTGTCGTTAACATAAGTGAATTCACATTTATCGTGACGATAAGAGAACTTGAAAATTATGTTAGGTTGTATGCGTCGTCGTATTTCGATATGCAGTTTCATCATTACAGATTTAAGAATAATTGTAAGTCTGTGCGTTGTTGTTCAGTGTGTGGTTTCAAAGTATCGTTATTGTACAACGCAAATTGTCAACAATTAATTGTAATATGCACGAGCAAGAAATAACATGCGTAATATATGAAGCAAGCATTTTGTACTGCAGATCGTTTTTTGAGCTTTGTAAAGTGAAACATCTTCGCCATGTCATATAACACGCACAGTGTTTTCCTACCATGATATTACCATCTTCTCGCCATCGTTAAAACCTCCGTTCTTTTCATGTTCAACTTCGACTAGTTTCTGAAATGTTACGATTATTCAATCGCAGATCCCTGTCAATGTTGCAACGATGGACAAATTTATTAATTACATAAAGAACAAAAAAAAATAAAATTTGAATTCCAGAATAATATTAAATATCACGTAGAATAACAAAAGTTCGTTACGCGTTCTCATTAAATTTTGCCCATCTCTGCAATGCCGATTGTAAAATTTATTTAAAAATCAATGTTATCTATGAATGTCTTTCAACAGCGAGGAGCTCGCCACCGAATCCAAACTCACATCCGTTGTAACGAATAAATCCGATTTTTCGTAGCTACTTTTGCGCCTTTCTAGTATCTTTAAACCTCGGACGGTTTATTTGCGCATGTTTGAACCGCTTTTGATATTTGTATGACTGGTACGGGCGATTTGGACGATATTGGCGGTGTCTTTTTCTTCACACCGTGAAGTATATGGGTCAGCCCTTTTTTTGTTTCAAGGCTCTTGTAAGCGCTGTATACCACAAACCATACGTAAGAACTCGAGAATATTAGCCAGAGAATGAACATACCTTTAAAAAGAAACCAATGTTTTTAAGCAATAACGCGACATAATAACTAAAAGAATAATATTTGTCAACGTACGTTCATAGATGCCTGCTTTACCGCCAAGAGTAGCGATAAAGGGGCAGTCTTGCTCTACCAAGAACAAGGAAATCGTGAACGCTGATATTATCGTCATCGTCACCATCAACCACGGCGCCATGAAGTGACGATTGTTCTACCAGAATAAATTACCTTGTTTTTATCAAGTAAATATTCTTTTTCTACGTAAAATATCATTACCGTCAGCGCGCCGTATAGAAGCAAAATACTGGAAATAAAATGTATCACTATAACGACTAATCCGCAATATATCGCGTAAACCATTTCTGCAACAAACAATTACGAGGGAACGTATGTCAATAATCTTCGGTGTAAGCTCGTTACGGCATAGTTTTGTAAGTACCAGTTGCATTATGATGCGCCATGTCCATTTTCTTCGTGTTAAGATGATTCGATGATATATCTTCCAGGGCTTCCCTCGCGAGAGCATCTTCCGTATCTCTGACCACCATTTCTTGGATGACCATGGCATGGGCCAATGCCAGAACCAAAAATATCATACCGAACACAGACACAAACTGTAGTGGAAAAATGCATTAGATCCGATGCAGTGATCTAAACAATTTTTGTAAAAAATTATTTTTTCAAAAGATGAATCAAAACGGAATCCTAATCCATCAAGAAACTCTGTTGCTTCTGTGAAACGATAAAGGATAAGAATCCTTTCTTGGAAGCTTGAGCGGAGCTTCCAAAATCGGAGATAAGACAAATTCGTATGTTTTCTAAAATATTCTAAACTATATTTACTTAGATTTTTTTTTTTTAATAATTCGATGACTGTCATATTTACCAATTGACACACGGCTATAAACGCTGTGCCTTGTTTCAAAGTGAAACAGTGGAATTTCTTCATCAATCCCACCTTCATCTTGCTCGTTTGATAAAAAAATGAAACTTCTTATTTATACGTATATTATCCCTGAAAATTTCAAACAGCATTACTCGATGAAATATTAATTGCAGGAATCAAAGTGAAGTCGATGAGACTCGTTGAAGTAATTAAAAAGCTTCTCGCAAACATAACGAGAAATGGAAATAATCAAGTAGTCGCTGCGATCGTGTTATTCGAAGAAAGGATAGCATCGGTAAAGGAAGTATTGCTTATAAGAAATGCTATCAGGCCATCGGTTGGTTAATTCATTGGCTTTTGAAATGGGAGCAAGCAATATAACGTGTCGTTACTCACCTGGGGGTAAAAGGAGCAACGAATGTCACTGGGAAGTGTAATTCACAATGAGAATCAATAACTTTCCCTGTCTCTGGTCGATGAAAACCGTTAAAATCTGATTGTCGAACGAAGCGTAACAAAGTGAAAGGATGCTCGAGGACCTTACCCTCGTTTAAGCGCCGTTTCGTGGCTCGAAAGGGGAACAGAAATCGAGGGACGCTCGTTTCTCGCTCGCGATGTGCCTTCGACGCGCAAAACGCGAGTTTGCTTCGGTCAGGGGGTTGGAAGGTAACCCCTAACGCTAGATTATACGTCATGCGCACCAGCGTGAACCACTGCCGCATCCTTCAAGGTGTATTCGTTCCCAATTGATCATTTTTGTACAATGACGCAAAATTGATACTTCTTGCTACTGTAGATGCGTCTCGTAAGCAAAATTGTATCGATAAATAATTCGCCTTCGTCATGATTAGAACTATATTTCAAAGAGTTCAAAGAGTTGAGAAACTTTTTTCGACCCTGGAATGATCTCTGGAGGCCATTCGGAAACATCCCTCGAAGTTGAATTTTATCGAGCTTGAACTAGATCAATTTGCCAGGGAAAATAATTACTTTTGTAAACGATAGTCATATATTTCATAAGTAAATGAAACTCTTTAGCTCGCGTAATGTTTTTCATCTTGAACAAAATTGTCTGCCGCGTGCCGAACCACGCATAAAGGATGGGGTGACCTTTGAAAAAAAAAAAAAAGAAATGTAAACGGAGCGTGTATATACTTAGCGGAGCGGGTACACGAATTCAGCAACAGTTGGTTTTGTACGTAAAAAAAAAAAGTATTCAGCGGTGGGATGTGCCACGTGTAGATAGCATTTATTTTTGAAATGATAGGGAAGCACGATATGATGATAGAGAACCATAACAATACGTGTATACATGTATATTGGAAGTATAAGATAAAAGCGATCTTAAGCGATACGATTTTGGACATTCTTCCCTAATCAATTACTGGCAGTTAGGTAACGCTCCTCGTTAGTAGAAACGTCGAAAGTTCCACTCCGTTTAAAAGTTAATTCGATCGAGTTGAATCATGTTTGAAAGTAGCCATAGAAACATGACGCAAACTCTGAGCTTCTGTTTGCATCGCGACGGGTAACTAGTAGCGCGATTGTTAGTTTAGCGTGCCATGAATTGTGACAATTTGCAATTAATCTACGTTGATGCGTTGACAGGTTTGAATACGATCTTCGCGGGAAGTGGTTACAATGGACCGGAACTATCAGACAGTTGAAATGGGAGCGGGCGCGTTTCATCATCCACCGAGAGCTAAATACAGCGAGGAGACGAGAAATCTAATCAAACGTACGTTAAATATCATTGTCTCGCTAAGTTTCAACCATCTTCGATCTAAGAGGCGCGTGAATGCTCCATTTACCTTCCGAAGTTGTACCAAGCGGGTGCAATGATCTATGTAGATCAGAATAAATATCTTTACAAATAAAAGAAAGAAAAGCCTTTTACACAGGATTCACCGCATTTTGAAAATTACTCGCTCTATTTACTTACGCGGCATTTCTTTACTTTAGTTTTGATGGAAGAGTCTAAAGTGACCATGATGCAGAGGAAATCTATTCAAGAAGCGATCGATAAGGGTGAATCCTTGCCGCCTCCCATGGAAAGATCAAGCGGAAAAATAAATAAACATGATTCCGAGTATCGAGTAAAATTTTTAGAGCAATTGAATCAGTATCGATGAAGTGATTAATACAAAGCGACGAGATTATTTTTCTAACCAGTCATATGCCCTTAGGTAATGATGCCTACGGTTTGGAAAAAGCGGTCGCAAGATATGATTATTAAAAGCGGGGCGTACGAAAGAGAACAGTATAGGAGAACATCTCCTTTACGTAAGTCCATGTATTTTAATTATAATAATTCTAGGATTTAAAAGAAGGCAATATAATATACTCGAGCATAGAATATCAAATTAATAAGTAGATGTAAGTTAAATTAATGAATTAGTAATATCGTTTACTTTTCTTATAAAAAATCCAGCCAACAAAGAAAGACAAAAGCGTCATTTGGCTTGTATGATGACGTATGGGGAAGACATGCCGGAAACTCCTCACGGTCCAAAAATACTTCACAAAACAAGGCGTGAACCACGTTTTCCTGACGATGTTGATCCTATCGACGATTGTAAGTATTAGGTAGACCGAAAAGTAATGACGTTTCTTTTATATTAAAGCAGCTTTTTGTCACCTAGTGTGTAAATTTTCAATGCCAGAAAAATCAATGAGCTGATAAATGATAAACAAGTATTTAAGATGGTAAAAACGACATCACTTTCCAGTCCACCTAATAGATGAAATAAATTTATATACGACATAAAACTTTTGTATTAAATGTATTTTTTTTTTGTTCGATGTTTCAGTAGTACGAGGAATTCAAGAAAGAATGGAATTCCTAAACGATATGGAATGCTTAGGAATGGAAAAGAAATATCGTCCTATTATACAACAAGAAATAGCGCATAAGTTACGATTAATTGAATCGCTCGACAAACAAAAGTCTAAAGAAGTTCGAAAGGAGATGAAGTGTCTTGAAAAGTCATTACCCAAACCACTCCCTTTAGGGCAACTGGATGAAAACTAATCATTTTTATTACTTTTATTTTATACAGACAACAGAATATATTACATAATATTTTTAATTAGATTTAATAAAATAACTAAGCACCTAAAATGGTGGTTTTATTAAATATAAACGAAACGACGTTTACATTTATACTTGGAATAATAACAGGATTATCTACTGGAATACATAAATTTAATTCTTCTTTTCCAATTGTTCTAAACATAAACGATATATTCATAATACACAAACGATTTATTTTACATTCATTGATTAGGATTTTACATTTAGTTCGTAACGTAATTCGTTTCTCATTGGTTCTCTGAGTCGCACGTCATTCTTACCAGCGGTGAACTGCAGGTCCGACGCATAGTGGATCGAAACACGAGAAGAAGTGACAAGTAGTTGAAAACCCGATGGTACGGTTACTACTAGGAAACAATTGTTGCGATAAAAAGTGTTTAAAAGAAGCGAACAATATAACTATGCACGTGTATAAGTATGAACAAAAATTTAATTTTATATTCTGCTATTGTTAAGTCTCCGATACTCTGTTACACGCGCAACACCACGCAACACTCAGGTGGTGAAAGTGAGAGGTTCGAATGAAATGGATTCACCGATTCTGAGTCGTTCAATTGTGATGCATAAATAGTGAAACCAAGTGAAATAGTATGACATTGACATAAGATTTTAATAATAGTTTTGTAACCTAGTTTGTCTGGTCTGTACGACTATATTTCGTAAACAATCGAAGGTACAAAATTTGCGTTTTGACGTTCGTTTAACATTGTTCAAATTACACAACAATCATGCTAGTTCCAGTAGAATTCTTAGAGATACATGTACCGTAAACAGTTACCTGAAAAGACACGTATATTTCTTATATCGATAAATGCAAGTGCATGCAAGTGACAGTAATTGAGGAGTAATCAATCGCAATATACATGCCTCGCAAACGAAGGAAAAAGCTAGATAAATGAAAATACGATGCCAGAAGTACACAAATTAGAGCGATAAAGTGATAAGTTTATCGAGTTTTCTGGTTTGACGTTTTAAATATACAAACGATGGCACCCACGAGAGATAAGTGGGTGAGGCGTTTTATTATTCCTGAAACGACACTACATAAGAAAGGCTTCACTATTTACAAAGTCACATCTGTGGTATGTTATACTGTAGAAATTATGTTCATTTTTTGTTAGTATCTTTCACGTGAACCTTGTCAATAAAATAGTTGTCATTTCAATATTTTCATTGAATAGCATTCAATTTAAATGAAGAAAATTGTAACAAACATTATATGAAATGTAATCAAATTATAACTTATAACAATTCTTATTTTCCAGGTATTTTTAAAATCGTCTCACGAAGAAATTTCCAAAGTATCTGTATGGAAACGATACAATGATTTTAAGAAACTTCATTCTGAATTAAGTGTACTGTGCTCACGATCTCAAATTAAAGAAAGTTTCCCATTGTTACCAAAGCCAAAATTTTTTGGCAGGTTTGAAACAGAAGTAATCGAAGAAAGGAGAGAAAGCGCATTGAAGTTTTTAGAATTTATCGGAAGGCATTCGTATTTATACTCTAGTGATATTTTCATAAAGTTTTTTGAAACTAGTCACGCAGATTATTCCTTAAGCGATTGTTCTCAATCTCTCAGTTCTGACACATCAGTTGAAGATGATCATCGTACTTACATAAATGCTTTACCCACTGATGACATTGTTTCACAAAATATTTTTCAACCTAAAAGTATTCAAAATTCATTACCAAATTCGTGTTCCATATTATCTATTTCTGTTCCCAAAGATGAAGTAAAACATTCTCAAGAGATATCTAAATGTACAGAATTACAATCTTCGCAATTAAATAACACAGATTACAAAACTGAGAATGAAAAGATATCCACAACAAAAAACACAATTACTAATATATTTGTAAAACATAGTGATTCAGAAAAAATGATATCAACACTGGAGGATAATCAATTAATATCTACTAAGAATAACAATTGTTATAAAGACTCCAATCGTAATGTAAAAGATGGCAATGATATTGTACTTGTACAAACATCAAATAATAATACAAAAGTTAATGTAGCTACTGAAGATTTAGGGTCTTCAATAATGGCACACGATGGATCTGATTTACCGCAATCGTGGCCAGATTCTTCGCAGTATATTTTAATTGCTGCTGCACATATGAGCGCAGCTTTTAGACATGAAGATCTTACAGAGTACGAAGAAGCATTTACCCAGTATAAAATGGGCATATCCAGTTTACGAACGGGAGTTGAATGCGATTCAAATAAAATGAGAGCAGAAATAATTAAACAAAAAATATCGAAATACTTAAAGCGTGCTGAGAAACTTTACAATAGATATTTGAATTGTAATATCTCTTTATTAAGTAAACCTATCTCAGAACTTCAACATTATAAAGCAGTCAAAATTATTGAATCGGTGATGCTCGTAAAGGACGTCCGCCGAAACTGTCTCAATATCGTGAAGGTATACGATTCGAAAATAAAATAATTTATTATATTGTAAATTCTATATATAAATATTCTTTCAGATTAACTTAAATAATTGGTTCTTTAATTTCAGGCTATAGAAAAATCATCTACAAATAAAGAAAATATAAGTAATTACATATTGCGCGGGCAAGTACCGTACATGGTACAATTACATGCATGCATTGAGACAGAAACAACAGCATTCTTAATTTTGCAATATCTAAGGTAAACATTAGAGATATCATACCATTGTTATTTATTCATGTCAATAAAATTATAATCTTTTATTGCGTTGTAGCCGTGGAAAGTTATGGGATTTTATAACATCACATTACAACTCCAGTAGTAATGAAATGCGTGATAAAATAGTTTTGGAAAATAATACTGAAAAATCAGTCATTGATAATAATATTATTTTAGAACAAAACAATTCCAAAAATGAAATTGAAAGCACTACTGCATCAATAGAAAATTTAAATTTCCTTAGTACAAATTATAAAGTACAAATGGAGATGCATCCAATGACATTAGAAGAAAAATATGAGAACTATAGGGATGTATCTACGACACAATTGTTAGAAAAGGCACAAATATTGTTGCAATCGGTTAATGCAACTTTGAAAGAAAGTAATACTGTTGCTAGCCGATTACATGATTCTCATTGTTTAATGAATCATGAGGATAACACTACATTATTAAATTTGAAAAATAGCAGGTGTCAGTCTAAAGATTGGAATGGAGCATCAGTGGATGTTAATGAAATATCGTTACAAATTGACGGTATAAACAAAAACACTGTAATCGAAAAAATACCTGAAAATGTGATAATTTCGAATTATTTACCACTAAACAATACTAACAAAATAAAAAGTCAGTGCAGTACCGATAATTCGTCGTTGAGCGATAGTTGTAAAGATCTGAGTTTTGATGAAAAAGAGTCAACAAGTTCTTCAATGGATAATTTAAAATTTGTTAGCAAACATATTGCGATAAAACGTCTAAATAGTAATAAAACTACTAACATTACAGATCGCTGTGAATTAAATCGGTCGATAGAATCCTATAACAAATCTGAAGAAATAAATTATTGTTCATCAGATAATAAAAAAATACAATATATGAACACTACTCTATTACTAGAATCAACAAAAAACAATTCGGATGTTGAACAGGAACTTTGGATAATACCAGAAAATGTAATACGTCTCTGGGCTGCTGAAATACTTTTAGCTTTGGAAGGGTTACATCAACAAGAAGTTCTAGTCTTTGATTTAAAACCGGATAACATATTACTTGATGATCATGGACATGTTCAGTTGACGTATGTTGTACCCAGTCAAGACGTAGATTTATTGAAATATAAGCACCCATATGCGTCTCCTGAACTGTGTATGTTTTCGCCTATGATCACTCTTACTTCTGCAACGGATATTTGGAGTTTTGGGGTTATCTTGTATGAATTACTAGTAGGCAATGTATGTAAAAATAAAGATAAATTTTGTTATAATCATATCATATAAAACAGATACGAGATACTACTTTTGCATTTCAGAAATTTCAGACAAAACACCCGTGCGTATTTCAATCGCATTCCATAATTAACATTCCTAGTAAGCTGTCGGAGGATGCGAAATCTCTACTTCTTAATGTAAGGTTATACATAATCCTTCAAATGTAAGTATACAATAGTTTATATTAAATTTCTCAAATTCGCAGATATTGAAATACCAACCATACGAAAGGATGACAATACCTGAGATAAAACAACATCCCTTCTTCAAAGACATTAATTGGTCAAGTCTGGTAAATACACTGTAAGGTTATTAGGTAGTACATCAATATTGATAAAGTTCTTTTCTCAAAAATATATATATATATATTTAAGAAACTCTCATGAAACACTTATGTATGTATTTAAAATAAAACTAAATGTGATTAACATTTTATGATTAGCAGGTAAAACTCTGTACCTATGAATATTTCACAATAACAATCTGGATGTATTAAAGTATGTCGAAATTTAAAAAAAATGATCAATACATGTAAACCAAAATATTATGTATAAATTTTAACTTTTTCTGCAATTTTACTTCGAAACTTATACAAATGAATGTATGTAATCTTACATATAGATCTACTTACTTCTTATTCTTTCACTTCTAGATATTGTTGACATTCCATCAACAAACTTAGTTGTAAATATTACATTAGCATTGTTAAACATTCCATCCTTTAATGATACAACAATAAATTGTGAATGTTTAAAATGTCTTTTTAACATTATACCAATATTCTCCGTATGCGAAAGATCCAAAGCGGCGTCAACTTCGTCCAAAATATACAGAGGTGCGGGTTTAAATAAAAGCATAGCTAAAATTAAAGATAAAGCTACTAAAGATCTCTGTCCTCCAGATAATTCTGCTAGCGATTCTTTCCAAATTCCGGAAAATCCGATTTTTACTTCTAGACCTTGCATGACTGATTGATTTTCTGGGGGTTGTAATTTTGCATTAGCTCCTGGTAACAAACTACTAAATATCGATCCAAAATCTTTGTTTACCTAAAAATCAATTTAAAATAATTATTTACTACTATTTAAATCTTAATACACAAATATGTTTAGTTAAAATAATTAATTGATAATACTTGTTGCCAAGCTTTGAGCAATGTCTCTTTTTTCTTTTCATCTAAATGTTTAATTGTTTCCAATATTTTTCGTTTATCATTTTCAACTATTTTCTTTTTTTTCATCATTTCATTATATTGTTCTTCCTCTTTATCGAACAAACTAATAGCACGCGTATTAATATGTCGACTCAATTGTTCTCGTGATATTTGTAGTCGATGTACTTTTTGTTCCACTTCATTGGGTTTATTAACACTGAAGTCGTAAATACCACCTGCAAGAGAAGAAAATATCTTATAAATTTGTGATAAAAAACAAACAAACAAACAAAATAAATTTACAAGTGGAATATAAGAAAATAAGTCGTTACCCGCTTTTCCAAAATAAATTTTATCTTGTTCAATCCATTGGTATTTTCGTACAAGTTCCGAGACTTTGTGTTTACAATCTATAGCACAATTTTTAATTGCGTTAATTTCATGGTTTAACTTTTTAATGTCCAACTCTGCCTCTTTGTTCTGTTTTATGATGTCTTCTTTTTTTGTTACAAGCTTTTGCATATGAGCGTTCTGTTTATTAATAATATTTTTCCGTTCCCTTATATTAGCCTGAATCTGTGCTACATTATCCTTGGCTTCTTTTAATTGTTGTTCTAACTGATTTGCTGTTTCTTGTAGCGTTTTTAATTTTTCTTCCGATGTTAACAACTGTTCTTTACCAGTTTCAATACATTTCCGCAACTCTTCAATTTCTAATTGAAGCGTTTCTGCTTCCTGTTCCCGTTTTTGCCACTCTTTGCGACTATTTTCAGCCTTCTTTTTCATTTTTTCTAGTCGAGCTGTAGCTTCGTTCAGTTGTTTCTCACGAATATTAACTGCATCTTTCAACTGATTTTCCAGTTCTTTCGCAAGATTCGTATTCTCTTTTGCATTCTTTTCTGCTACTTTCATTTTTTGTAAAAGTTCCTCGATACTTATTTCTAGTTGATGAATCTAAAAAAAAAAGAAAAATACTTAATATTGATAAGTTGTTCGTTTCGATATATCGGACTTGCGAAATATACCTCTTCCTTTAATTTATAATATACTGTTTGTTCCAATCGTTGTTTCACCATACTAATTTCATAATTTCGTAAATCGAATGTTTGCTTCAGTGACGTATATTTTTCTGCAACACTATTGATATTTTGTAGAGTAGTCTCGATACTTTGGAGATTTTTTATTTTGATATTTAATTCGTTTTGAATAGTTTTTAATTCTTCTAATTTTAAGAGAACTGATCCAGTCTTTGATTGCGCACCTCCAGACAGAGTACCAGCAGGATCCACAACATCTCCTTCTAAAGTAACACATTTTCTCATGATATTCGGATGAAATGCAATTTTTTTAGCAGTTCCAATATCATTACAAATAAAAATTTGTCCAAAAATCCAAGTCATAGCTGTTCGCGTATGTTCTGGAAAATCTATGAGAGACAATGCTAATTGAACGTTTTCCGCGCCACCTAATTTTTGTGCCAAATTAACTATTTGATTATCCATTGTTCTTCCACCTACTTTATTTAAAGGAATAATAGTAACACGCTTTTGCAACTGTCCACGTTGTAGTAATTTTTTGCTAGTGGTTTCTGTATCTACTATCACATTATACAGCTGAAATTCAAGTTTCAAAATAGTAACTTAAATAAAACAAATGAATTTTATATAAATTTAGGTACATACTTTTCCTCCTGCAGCAATCTCTAACGCGTATGCTGCCCTTTTATCTTTAACTGTAATTAATTTAGACACTACTCCCTTTACAGAATTGGGATTAAAATTGGGATCAGGTTTTTTATATTCAAATCTAGTGTGAGGATGTCTTGATTCAAATAAGTCTACTTTTTCTTCCAATGCTCTTATTTCATTTATTAAAGTATGTTTTTGTTGTCTAAGCTGTTCTACATTTCCATCTTGATAATTTAGTTTCTTCAGCTCATTTTCCAAATTTTTTACTTCTTTCTCTTTATCCTCGAGATCCTTTGTATATTTTTTATACTCATCCCCAGTATTTTTCAGATCCTGCTTTTTCTTATTTAATTGTGTTCTCTTATGACTTAATGTCATTTCACACTGCTTACATTGCGTCTGTGCTTCTGTTGCATTTTGTTTAGCAGTTATCAACTGTTGTTCTAACGTTGCATTTTCTCCATCTTTGCTTTGTAATAAACCAGAACTAATTTTTTGATATTGCTCTTGTGCAATTAATAGCGCATTAGAATCTTGTTGATCCATTTCTTTTAAGTTCTTAAAAAGTTCTTCAACTTTGGCAAACTCTTTCTGCTTTGATGTAAAAACATTTTCATCGTCTTTAACGTTGTCCTTCAATTGTACTATATCCTTTTTAGCAGCTTTAATGGTTTCTTTACTACTGTTAACTTCGGCGGCTAATTTAAATTGTTTCTTTTCTGCTTCTTGTAGCTCTGTCTGCAGCATATTCAATTGACCTCCTGCTTCCTAAATGTAATAATGTATTTAAAAAAAATATAAAAATATGAGTTTATTTCTTTAACTGAAATACATACCTCATCTCTTTTCTTGGATATTTCTTCACATTCCTTGTCAATATTCTTAACTTCCTCTTCACCAGCGATAATACTTTGTGTTAGTTTATCTATTTTGTCTTTAACAACTTGTACATTTCCTTCTGCTTTTTCGCTTTCATTTAAAGTTTCAACATACTTCCAAGCAATACAAATTTTTTTACAGTATTCTAGTTCTCTTTCTATCCGTTGAAATTCCACATACTGTGTTTTTTCTTCTTTAAGTTTTTCTAATTTTGGGCCTATCTCTTCATCTAAAATCTAAAATTAATTCTTCACATGACTTATGAGTAAGTATGAATAGTATGAATAAATAAAATGAAATTAAATTAAAAAATAAATCATACATTGTTTATCTCCTTTAATTTACTGTCCTTCTTTTCAATAGTTTTCAATGCAGCCTCCTTTTTATTTTCATACATTCTTGTGCCTGCTGCTTCTTCTATCATAGACAAAATTTCTGCAGGTTTCATGTTAAGAACTTTAGTAATTCTTCCTTGCATTATCAAAAAGTGTGGGTTATTTACATTCAGTTGAACAGAACAGAACAAGTCCTGTGCACGTTTGTTTGTCACATTAGATCCATTGATCAAATATTTGTTTTTACCACCAATTACAACTTGCCTTGTAATTGTTATCTCTTCGTGATGTTCATATCCCATAGGTGATGAAGTTCTGTCACGATTATCAAATGTTATGGTAACACTAGCTTTATTAATACCTGCTTGTCCACATTTATATACTAAATCTTGCAATGATGCTGCACGTACCTATTATAGAAAAATATGCCTTTATATTGTAATACATTATTAATCTATGTAATAAAATATACGTATGGACTAAAACTTGGCGATTTAATACTATGATTAAATACCTTTAAATAATCATATTACATTTTTCAAAACAATTATTTCCATTCAAAATGTTGGGATACATTACAGTTACAATTGAAGAAGTCTTGTAAATGACATAATACGAAAAGCAATAAAATACCTGTCCTAAGTTTGTAATGCCCAAAACAAAGCATATAGCGTCCAAAATGTTTGATTTCCCGGTACCATTAAATCCCGTAATCGCATTGAACTCCTTATCGAAACCATTTATTTCGATTCTTTTCCCGTAGGACTTAAATCCTTCTAATACCATAGACTTTATATGCATCTTGGAAATAAATAAATCACACGTGTAACTTAAAACAACGCTATCTTGATAAAACCGGGTTCTTTTGGCCGAAAAAAATACTAACATTCAAATTGTCGGCAATGGCAGTTATGAGGCATATACTTCAGAAAATGTAGAAAGGAAACGATTGATAAGTATTAAATGGTGTCTAAACATAAAGTTGGATCGTTGTTTTCACGTGTGGTTGGTTTGTTTTCACTGACAAATTCAATGGAGATTGTACATTACAGTTCTGTAGGAGAGAAGTCGAAAAGAGTTGAAAATATGTAAGGATATCAAATAATCAGAAATAATTACAAATAACGTTTTAGATCTATGCAGGGCTGGTTTTAGCAATATTGGCGCCCCGGGTAAGATTATCGTGGCACCCCGTCAGGGGTATATACAGGGTGTCCCAAAAATGTTGTAACACCTTGAAGCAGGTGGTTCGGGAGGTGATTTGAAACAACTTTTTCCTTAGCGAAAATGTTGTCCGAGGCTTCGTTGAGGAGATATTAAACGAAAACTCCGACCAATCAGAGCACGAGTATGCCGGTTGAGCGTAGGCTACGCGATAGGCGACCGCGCTCATACGCTACCGCGAGCGCTCCATCGGCATCCTCGCGCTCTGATTGGTCAGTGTTTTCCGTTAATATCTCTTCAACGAAACCTCTGACAACATTTTCGCTAAGGAAAAAGTTGTTTCAAATCACCTCCCGAACCACCTGCTTCAAGGTGTTACAACATTTTTGGGACACCCTGTATTCGTATACTAGGGACACCGGACTGCGACGCCCCCAAAAATCTGGTCCCCTCCCCCCTAACGCCGGCCCTGGATCTACGATATAGTCTGATCAGAGTATATCAGCCCAATGAAACGTTTCTTTTATTCCTCTAGACGAACTATAGAATGAAAGGTAGGGATAGAGGGAGCTATTGCATTCATGACTTTGACCTCACACCAATCACAGTCAACAACGAGGTCTACGCTCCTTTATCTTATAGTCTTTTAGCGTTTCCGAACGTTGCTCACTCTTACAGGCGTCCCAACCGTCATTCTGAATTCTGAGTTACAGGTAAATATAATGTGCTTACAATAGTTGTTCAACTATCGTGTTAGGCAGCTTCAGTATCGGATGAAGGTTAAGGCAAGAGGAAGAGAGGCAAACAGTTTGTGCAATGAATAATTAAGTTTAGGTAGTTATTGACTGCGGTACGCCGTTTATTAATTTTAGTCCCCACTTAAGATACTATAGCTGTGCAATTTTCGGTTGCCGACGCTACTCCATAGTTTGTATTGCAATTCTAACGAAGGTAAGTAGACTGAAGATAGGAGCGATTCCATAATCTGATATTTTATTGTAAAATAATATTTTTCATTTTGGAAGCGATTTGATGTTTATATATAGATATAACATTCGAAAGACAGATGTTTATGCTAAATTGGCGTCTTCTTCCATACTGGCCAATTACACAGTGGATATTTTCCCGCCATATTAGTAAATCTTGTTTCGGGTACGAAAGTGTTTTTAGTAAATAATAATTTAATTGTTTGGACGGAAGAAAGGCTTATCGTTCGTAATAATATGTAAAACCATGTTTTGTTACATGCAACAATTATTGCGATTAAAACTTGCACAGTGCAGTCGTGTATGATTTCTACATATTGGATATAAAAGTTTATGTTAAAATTAATTAGAAATAAAGTTGGAGTCGAATTAACCTACAAAAAATTGGATAATTTCGTAATTATCAAAAATCTTCATTTTTCAATGTATCATCAATGTGTATACATGTATACAATGTGTATGTACATGATGTGTCCTTGTATTTAGTATCTTGTCACAAATAAAAAAACTAGTTAAACTTAGAGAAGAAACATTGTTTATTCTTACAATAAATAGAATATACTTAAAAAGTGTAATCACCTATTTCAGAAATGCTATGTTTAAGTAATAATATTATAGTGTTACATGTAATGAGAACATATTAGAGAAAGATAACTAAGGTAATGTAGTTAAAAAAAATTTCTGTTAAAAGAAATCGTGGCTAGATGACACCAGTTTGCTATTACCAAATTTTTCAATTTTAAAAATATGAAATAATTTTGCCAAATAAAGCTTCTATGATGAAGTATATCTGGGTATATGTACAATGCATTTTATCTCATCTCTAATACCTTAAACAACTACATCTTTATTTGTTACAGTTACATAAATACTAAACCCTATAACACCATGAGTACTACAGTAGAAAATGGAGCTGGTGACAATGCTTCAAAGAAAAAGACTATCGAAGGGATATACCAGAAGAAGTCTCAGTTGGAACATATTTTATTACGTCCCGATACTTACATTGGTTCTGTTGAACCGGTAACTGAAATGATGTGGGTCTATGACAAAGAGAAAGAAGTAATGGTGCAAAGGGAAATAAAATATGTTCCTGGATTATACAAAATATTTGATGAGATTTTAGTAAATGCAGCAGATAATAAACAAAGGGATCCCAAAATGGATACCATTAAAATTGACATTAATCAGTATGTGTTTACTTATTAATCTATAAGTAATTGAAATATTTATATCTAATCATTGAAAAATCAATAAAAAAATTGTCTCAATTTGTAGAGAACAGAATGTTATATCAATATGGAATAATGGCAAAGGTATCCCAGTGGTAATTCATAAAGAAGAAAATATGTTTGTTCCTACCATGATATTTGGTCATTTGTTAACATCGTCTAATTATGATGACGAAGAGGAAAAAGTAACTGGTGGTAGGAATGGTTATGGTGCCAAATTGTGTAATATTTTTAGTCATCGTTTTACCGTGGAAACTTCATCTAAGGAGTATAGGAAATGTTTAAAACAAGTAATTAATTCGTAAAAATATGTTTAAAACAGATACTTGTATTATAATAATATATTTATATAATGAATTTGTATTTGTAGACATGGAGTAACAATATGGGACTTGCTAGTGAGCCTAGAGTTAAAGCATCCACTGGAGAAGATTTCACGAAAGTCATATTTTCACCAGATTTATCAAAATTTAAAATGCAATCTCTGGATGATGATATAGTTGCTCTTATGTCTCGACGAGCGTTCGATGTAGCAGCCTCTACTACCGGTGTTAAAGTCTATTTGAATGGCACTAGAGTTCCAATAAAAAATTTTAAAGACTATGTTGATTTGTATATTAAAGATAAAAAAGATGACATTGGTAATCCTTTGAAAGTAGTATATGAACACTGTGGACCTCGTTGGGAAGTGGCTGTTACTCTGTCTGATAAGGGCTTCCAGCAAATGTCTTTTGTAAACAGTATTGCAACAACAAAGGTAAAATTTATGAAAAACTAGATGATTGACAAATATCATGCAATTAAACAAAATGAATTCTAAAATATTTCTTATAAATAGGGTGGACGGCATGTGGATCATGTTACAGAATTAATAGTAAAACAGTTGACAGAAACTTTAAAGAAGAAAAATAAGGCTGGCGTGACGATCAAGCCATTTCAAATTAAAAATCATCTATGGATTTTTGTTAATTGTCTTATTAACAATCCTACATTTGATTCGCAAACTAAGGAGAACATGACATTGCAAGCTAAAAGTTTTGGTTCAAAATGCACACTTAGCGATAAATTTGTTACAAACGTAAATATTAAATTTCAATTTTGTCGATATAATATTTTTATATGTTTGTGACAAATTTTGAATTATACATAGGTAACAAAAATGGGCATTGTTGAAGCAGTTCTAACATGGGCGAAATTTAAAGCTGATAGCCAGCTACAAAAGTTGGGCCCTAAATCAAAGCAAAGAAAATTGCAAGGTAAATCGTACACATGGAAAGAATATAGTATTTGATGTCACTTTTGAACTAATGTGATAAGGAAATTAAGCAAATTATTACGAGCAATTTTGTATTTTAGGAATTCCAAAATTAGAAGATGCTAATGATGCTGGAACCGGCAGATCACTTGAATGCACGTTGATATTAACTGAGGGAGACTCAGCTAAGACCATGGCAGTATCTGGTCTTGCTTCTATAGGTAGAGATAAATATGGAATATTTCCTCTGAGAGGTAAGTACAGGTAACTTTAATAGCAGTATTAATTATACTATTGTTATATATGAAAATGATTTTAGGTAAAATTTTAAATGTAAGGGAGGCGACTCATAAGCAAATTTTAGAAAATGTCGAGATTAATAATTTGATAAAAATCCTTGGACTTCAATATAAGAAAAAATATGAAACTCGCGACGATCTAAAGACATTACGTTATGGAAAAATGATGATAATGACCGATCAGGATCAGGTTAATTTTTTTTATAAATTTAATACTTCGATAAATGTTATGCATCTGTACAATACTTATGTGTTGCGTGTATTTATGTAGGATGGTTCTCATATCAAGGGATTGTTAATTAATTTTATTCATCATAACTGGCCTTCATTACTGAAGGTAAATTTCGTAGAAGAATTTATCACACCCATTGTGAAAGCAACAAAAGGAAGCGAAGTATTGAGCTTCTTTTCCCTACCGGAATTTCAAAAATGGAAGACGGAGACGAGTAATTTTCATACGTATAGAATCAAGTACTACAAAGGTTTTTATTTTTGATCTTTTAAAAAAAACTTTTATTTTTATTTATTTCTAATTGTACAAAAATATTCCTCTCTTTTATTATAGGTTTGGGTACCTCTACGGCTAAAGAGGCAAAAGAATATTTTCAAAATATGACGAGACACAGGATTTTATTTAGGTACGATGGAGATCAGGATGATCAAAATATCATCATGGCTTTCAGTAAAAAGTGTGTCGATCAACGTAAGGATTGGCTAACGAATTATATGGATGAAACGAAAAGAAGGAAAGACATTGGGCTCGGGGAGCGTTATCTTTATCAAAAGGATACACGTACTGTATCTTTCTCTGATTTTATTAACGTTGAATTAGTTTTATTCAGTAATTATGATAATGTACGCTCTATACCCAATATGATCGATGGTTTCAAACCGGGACAAAGAAAAGTTTTGTATACGTGTTTAAAACGTAACGATAAACGTGAAGTAAAAGTTGCTCAGTTAGCTGGATCTGTTGCCGAACATTCAGCGTAC